TCAGTTATGTCCAACTCTTTGTGCCCCATAGACTGTAGCCCGCCAGGCTTCTCTGTCCATGCGATTTTCCAGGCAAAAATACAGGAGTGGGTTGTCATTTCTTCCTCCAGGGGATCTTCCTGATTCAGGGATCAAACCTGCAGCTTCTTCATTGGCAGGTGGATTCTTTACCACTGAGCCACCTTGAAAAAGCCCCATGGATGGATATTTAAGGATTTCTCTTCTAGTAAAGGCTGAATGTTAGGAAATACCTAAAAATCCAACCCCTCAGTGTAACAGCATTAAAAGTGGTGGTTGGATTCACTGCCTACAAAGTTTTCCTTATGCATAAACTTTATGGTACAAGTTACTTAAAACCACAGAAGATAAATATCAGGTTTCTTTTTTTTTTTAATTTTTATTTATTTTTATTTTTTATTATTTTTTTTTTCATTTATTTTTATTAGTTGGAGGCTAATTACTTTACATCATTGCAGTGGTTTTTGTCATACATTGAAATGAATCAGCCATGGATTTACATGTATTCCCCATCCCGGTCCCCCCTCCCACCTCCCTCTCCACCCGATCCCTCTGGGTCTTCCCAGTGCACCAGGCCCGAGCACTTGTCTCATGCACCCAACCTGGGCTGGCGATCTGTTTCACCCTAGATAATATACGTGTTTCGATGCTGTTCTCTTGAAACATCCCACCCTCGCCTTCTCCCAGAGTCCACAAGTCTGTTCTATACATAGGAGTCTCTTTTTCTGTTTTGCATATAGGGTTATCATTACCATCTTTCTAAATTCCATATATATGAGTTAGTATACTGTAATGGTCTTTATCTTTCTGGCTTACTTCACTCTGTATAATGGGCTCCAGTTTCATCCATCTCATTAGAACTGATTCAAATGAATTCTTTTTAATGGCTGAGTAATATTCCATGGTGTATATGTACCACAGCTTCCTTATCCATTCGTCTGCTGATGGGCATCTAGGTTGCTTCCATGTCCTGGCTATTATAAACAGTGCTGCGATGAACACTGGGGTGCACGTGTCTCTTTCAGATCTGGTTTCCTCGGTGTGTATGCCCAGAAGTGGGATTGCTGGGTCATATGGCAGTTCTATTTCCAGCTTTTTAAGAAATCTCCACACTGTTTTCCATAGTGGCTGTACTAATTTGCATTCCCACCAACAGTGTGAGAGGGTTCCCTTTTCTCCACACCCTCTCCAGCATTTATTGCTTGTAGACTTTTGGATAGCAGCCATCCTGACTGGTGTGTAAAGGAGGCAAGGATATACAATGGAAAAAAGACAACCTCTTTAACAAGTGGTGCTGGGAAAACTGGTCAACCACCTGTAAAAGAATGAAACTAGAACACTTTCTAACACCATACACAAAAATAAACTCAAAATGGATTAAAGATCTAAATGTAAGACCAGAAACTATAAAACTCCTAGAGGAGAACATAGGCAAAACACTCTCCAACATAAATCACAGCAGGATCCTCTATGACCCACATCCCAGAATTTTAGAAATAAAAGCAAAAATAAACAAATGGGACCTAATGAAACTTAAAAGCTTTTGCACAACAAAGGAAACTATAAGCAAGGTGAAAAGACAGCCCTCAGATTGGGAGAAAATAATAGCAAACGAAGCAACAGACAAAGGATTAATCTCAAAAATATACAAGCAACTCCTCCAGCTCAACTCCAGAAAAATAAATGACCCAATCAAAAAATGGGCCAAAGAACTGAACAGACATTTCTCCAAGGAAGACATACAGATGGCTAACAAACACATGAAAAGATGCTCAACATCACTCATTATCAGAGAAATGCAAATCAAAACCACAATGTGGTACCATTACACACCAGTCAGGATGGCTGCTATCCAAAATATCAGGTTTCTAAACTGATGTTCTAGAGATCAAATATATGCATTTACAACTATTTTCTTCAAATTGTTTTGAGTACCACTTAGGAAGGTTAGAGTCAGGGAAGACAGTGGCCTTGCTTAGCTTCCATAATTATAGCTTTATAAGTAGACTTTTCATTTGTGAAGGCCAGAAAATAAAGCACTGTGTCTTTGTACAGAAATAGAGGCTATTTCATGGTAAGGTTTTCAAATCTTTGAAGTTCTGAGACTATTCTTGATTGTATGGTAATTGTACTTGTATTTTGGGTCAAGAAAACATATTCAGAAAATTTGTAGTCTGCATGGTTAATAATAGTTCTGTGATAGAAACAGCACTTTACTGCAAATGCTGCTTTAAAACATGTTGGAAACACCCTCTGAGGTTGCTTTATCCATGTGGTAAATAGGTTCTATTAAAAATAATTTGAGTGAGCAGTCAGTATAGGCCAGGCACCGTGCTAAGTGCTTTAGCTATATTTAAGAAAAATTAAGTGGCTTTGAAAGTTAACATTGTCATATAGTTTTATACTTGGAACATGAGCTGTTTGGGTTAAAAAAAATCTTCATGCAGATTCTTACAAGCAAATTGAGTGTGGTTGTGCAGTGGGTGGTTTTTAAGCTTAAATATCTCAGCTGGATTTAATTACCTTGAGGGATAAGGCTACATGATGGGCCAGTGGTTTACCAAATTATTTTTCATTTTCTGGATCTTGATGTCACTAAAGGTTAATGCATCCTCTTTTCTCTGCTAGAGACCCGAGTTAAAAATCCATTTTAGAGCATGAGTATAAATGAATTTGTTGTTGTTTTTCCTCCTTGGGGACACTTTGGTCATTTCGCGAGGCAGGCAGTCTTTCCATCTGGAATTGCCCGCAGCTTGCACCAGGCATAGGGTCTCTCATAGCAGGGGTGGTGGCAAGCCAGCGTGAGCAGGGGCTGGCAGGCTTCAGAGGGCAGAGCTGGCCCAGGGCTTGTCACTCTTTCATTCCTCGAGTCTGTCTTGGTTAACTTAAGGAAACTTATTTGCTAGTGACATTTGATTATAGCACATCACAAAACAAGTGATGTATTTATGGCTAGGCCATTGCCTTTTCCTCCCTATCTTAGGCTGCTTTGGATTTGGCAGCCACAGAGTTTTCTGTATTCACTCTCCATACTCCCCTAAATTACTGTGTATGTTAGGATAGATCTGTGATCAACATTTTTGATCACTGATGTTTTATGACTTCTACTGTCTTTTGATTGCTTTTGTATAAATGCATGATTTTTAAGGTGTGTGTTTATATCCATAATTACAATTACCCTAAAGTAGTGCCCTTGGTTGGGTTCCCCAGGTGGCTCAGGGGTAAAAGAATCACTTGCCAATGCAGGAGATGCAGGAGACGTGGGTTCAATCCCTGGGTGGGGAAGACCCTTTCGAGAAGGAAATACCAACCTGCGCCAGTATTCTTGCCTGGGAGATCCCATTGACAGAGGAGCCTGACAGGCTGCAGTCCTTGGGATTGGAAAGAGTTGGACATGACTGCGTGACTGAGCATGCACATGCATAGTGGTACTGGTTATTGCCTTTATCTGTATGAATGGGGACTATTTAGATGTATAAGCAAAGCATGAGGTAGTCATTGAACATTAATTCCTTGAGGGAGCTTGGTAGGGCTCTTTTCCCTGAGTTTGCTTGTAGTCATCTCTTCTCTATTTTTATTATTACTACTACTACTATCATTATTATTGTTAGTCTTGGTGTTTCTCTTTTCCTATATATATAAAAAGACAGAAATAAAATTTTATATATATGGATGCCTGCTGCTGTTTAAGTCACTTCAGTTGTGTCCGACTCTGTGCGACCCCTATAGACGGCGGCCCACCAGGCTCCCCCGTCCCTGGGATTCTCCAGGGAAGAACGCTGGAGTGGGTCGCCATTTCCTTTTCCAGTGCGTGAAAGTGAAAAGTGAAAGTGCAGTCACTCAGTCGTGTCCGACTTGTAGCAACCCCCTGGACAACCCCCTTGCAGCCCACCAGGCTCCTCCGTCCATGGGATTTTCCAGGCAAGAGTACTGGAGTGGGGTGCCATTGCCTTCTCCGATATATATGGATAAATGAGATTATATAATACATACTGTTGTTTTTTTTTTCCCCTCCTTTGCACTTAGCACTTTGTTTCCCAAATTCCCTGAGTCCCTCATCTTCTCTATTTGTTGTAGGTATTGCTACACCATTTTTATACATTCAGTGCTTTTTGTCTTAAAATGTTCCAAATTGCACTTTACACCAAGAGAATCTGCCTCTTCATAGTTTATCTTCTATTCACCTTTCAAATCCCATTTCTTCTATCAAACTGAGTCAGTCCAAGGAGAGGTGAGAACTGCTGTTGTTTGCTTATAGCTTTCATGTAAAACTGCCTTTCCCTCTAGGTGTATGTGAATATGAGAAAGAGCCAGAGAGACTTGACTATGTGTAAATATGTGTGTAGACTTCGGCTAACCAAGCTCTGACTCATAATGGCCCTGAGAATTACTAAAAAAAAATTGATAGTGTGTGCTTTTACTGAGTCTTAATCTTAAAAGGTAAGTTTGACTAAAAGTTGGTCTAAATTATTAGTACATGAACTTCTGGTAAGGCTATAAAAATAATTATTGGGAAGTCATTTTATATGTGTCCATTGATAGGCAGTGTGTTTGGGAATAAATAGCACAAACAACGTTGAGGTTCTTGAGGTGCCTTCATGTTTATCATGATTGTTTTCTTCAGCAATATCTGTTAAACCCTTCAAGAGCAGAACCAGGTCTATCCACTCAAAGTCTCCTGTGTACTGATGAGGTTCTCACAAACTCTTTTGACAGTATCTTTGAAAAGATGAAAGTGAAAGTCACTCAGTCATGTCCGACTCTTTGCGACCCCATGGACTATACAGTCCATGGAATTCTCTAGGCCAGAATATTGGAGTGGGTAGCCTTTCCCTTCTCTAGGGGGTCTTCCCAATCCAGGGATCGAACCCAGGCCTCCCGCATTGTAGGCGGATTCTTTACCAGTTGAGCCAATAGCCTTTCATATTAACAGTATTGTGGGACTATTTTGTTGCCTGAATCGTTTTCTTCACCCTCTCCAGGTGTCCGCAGTCGAGTCTTTGGAGGGCCCACTGCTCCAGGTGGAAGGACTGAGTGACCTTAGGCTGGAGTTGCACAGCAAGAAGATGAACCTGCACTTGGTTCTCATAGACGAGCTGCATCGGCACCTGTACATCAAATCCACCAGCCGCGTTGTGCAGCAGAACAAGGAGAAAGGGAGGATGAGGTTAGTCAGAGAGGCTCTTTGCCACAGCATCTTGTGGCCATGTAGAGCTTTTAGGGGTATTATTTTCCAGAATATGGTTGTAGTTTATTTTACTTCTCTTTTTAACGTACTGTCTCTGAAAATGTAAGACGGTTTTGTGATAACAAACGCTCCCCATTCTGAAAGGCTGACACTCAGTGTTTGTTCATCCCCTCACTTCACATTTTTTGTGGTCCTTTTATGTCAAGATACATAAGAAACATTTACTGTGGGCTTTTAATGTACTCGATCAGAGAGACTCTGGTATATCTCAGAAGGGAGAGAAAAATCCTTAAAATGATAGTGCAGTCCTCCTAATTAAGAAATACAGGCATATGAACTGAAGTTAGAAGATTGTTACTTAGAGCTGTGTATAATCCTCTTTCTGGGGCAGTTCAGGAGAGCTTGAGAGAGAACACTTTTGTTTTATCCTTGGTCTGGGCATAGCACAGTCCTGTGATGAAGGGCCTGGGTGGACTCAGAACATTTATTAAGTTAGGGGAGACCTGGTAGGGAATAGACCAGATGGTAAGATGGTAGGACAGTGGTGTTACTAACATGTGTCAGATAGCTGTGCACGGTGTGTGTCTTTCCAACATTGTTTCAGTTCAGTTCAGTCACTCAGTCGTGTCCGACTCTTTGCGACCCCATGAATCGTAGCACACCAGGCCTCCCTGTCCATCACCAACTACTGGAGTCTGCCCAAACCCATGTCCATCGAGTTGGTGATGCCATCCAGCCATCTCATCCTCTGTTGTCCCCTTCTCCTCCTGCCCCCAATCCTTCCCAGCATTAGGGTCTTTTCCAGTGAGTCAACTCTTTGCATGAGGTGGCCAAAGTATTGGAGTTTCAGCTTCAGCATCAGTCCTTCCAATGAACACCCAGGACTGATCTCCTTCAGGATGGACTGGTTGGATCTCCTTGCAGTCCAAGGGACTCTCAAGAGTCTTCTCCAATACCACAGTTCAAAAGCATCAATTTTTTGGCGCTCAGCTTTCTTCACCGTCCAACTCTCACATCCGTACATGACTACTGGAAAAACCATAGCCTTGACTAGACAGACCTTTGTTGGCAAGGTAATGTCTCTGCTCTTAAATATGCTATCCAGGTTTAAAATAACCTTAATCTAACTGAAGAATTAAGATTCTTCAGAGGGCAGTTGAGTTGAGCACTGTGTCATTATTGACACTTTTTCATCGGCTATAGATGAGAGGAACACTGGAAGCAGTGAATGCTGGGAATGAAGTCTGTAAAATCCTATCCTGTTCAAACCCAAATCACCAACTCTGTGATGCTTCAGTTCAATCAGAGCCTGTGACAGAGAAAGAGGAGTTTCCATCTCTTTTCTGCAGTTGGGCATTGGAAAATCTTAGGCACACAAACTAAGCTATAGGCATGTACCTTAGACTTAACCTAAGCACTGGATCTGCATACAGCCTTGTTGGAGAGTCAAGTGGTGGGTGGGAGCAGTGATGAGGAAATTCCTTCCAGAGTGCCTGGTGGTAAGTAGTGGATCTAAATAAATTTTTTCCTGTGCAAGGATTAAAAACAAGACCCCCTTCCCTTATAAGCATGAGGGAAAAAGCATTACATTGAGGTCTCAAAGAAGAGTATTTACTTGAAGGTAAGGATTTATAAAGCTAAATAGGAAATGTTTTAGGAGACTCAAGCTCAAGGTCTGTCAAAAGATGCAAGATGATGTAGATTACATAATTGCTCAGAATTATCAGCCTTCCCCCTTCACCTGACTGGGAGAAGTGTGTTTCCTTCTCTCTGATTCTTGGGCTCTTGCTTTTGCTGATTGTTAGCATGTAACACGAGGGGCCTGAAATGTGCTTGTGCCAGGGAGCATGCCCTGTCATGCCTCTGTCACTGCCATGATGTTGTTGGTCCCTGGAGGAGGAGGAGAGTCATGTGGAATCAAGCCAAGTTCAGCTGAGCTGGCTAGCCTGAGTCAGCCAGTCACCAAAATGTGCTTATTATTGAACATGACTGAGATTCTGTGGCTGTATGCAGCAAACAGATAGCTTCTATGAAATGATAATAAGGAGTTATATGAATGGGATTGGGCAAGATGCAAAAAGAACTAAACAGGAACAAAATGGAAGGAAAAATCAAAATAATAATAGGGAAATTAAGTCTTTTTAAAACACTGGAAGAATAGAATCAGTGATATGGAGGGAAAACTTATCATGAGGAAGGAAAAGACAAGATGATGAGAGAAAGATAATAGGTGTGAAAAATGGAGACTAGTGATCAATAAATGATTTTAAGCACTGTATAGAATGACATTAAAATGATAGTGTTATAGGTAGAATTGTGTCCCCTTAAAATTCATGTGTTGAGATCCTAACTCCTAGAACCTGACGGTGACTAAATTTGGAGCTAGGGTCTTTCAAGAGGTATTTTAAATTAAAATGAGGTTATTAGCATAGGTCCTAATTCAACATAACTGGTGTCCTTATAAGAAAAGGAAGTTTGGACACACACTTCTGAAGAGGGAAGACCATGTGAAGACACAGTGATAAGACAACCATCTACAAACCTAGGAGAGAGGCCTCAGGAGACACCTACTCTGCCAACATCTTGTTCTTGGACTCCTCACCTCTGAAATGGTGAGAAAACAGATTTCTGTTGTTGAAGCTGCCCAGTCTGTGGTGCTTCGTGATGACAGCCCTAGGAAACTAATACATAGAGAAATAGTGGCAGTACTTACAGTGTAAAGAAAGAGACCTACTTAAACAGAAAAAAAGATCTTGGTCTGCAAGTCAAAATGATTCAAGGTAAAATTAGTGAAAAACTGACTCTTAGAATCAGAAAGCTTTTTATGAATTTAACAAAGAAATACTATAAGCACCAGGGAGAAAAATTATGTTCCCTGCTCTGGCAGAGATAGTTATATGCCCATTCCCACGTTTATTTTTTTTAAAGTTATTCATTTACTTTTTATTTGTTTTTGGCTGTGCTGTCTTTGTCACTATGCACGGGCTTTCTCTATTTGCCGAGAGCGGGGGCTGCTTTTTGTTGCAGTGGGTGGGCTTCTCATTGCATTGGCTTCTCTTGTTGCAAGGCACAGGCTCTAGGTACGCAGGCTTCAGGAGTCATGGCGTGAGGTCTCACTTGCTCTGTGTGGCATGTGGAATCTTCCCGGACCAGGGATCGAACCACAGCTTTGGCAGGTAGATACCCATCCACTGTACCAACAGGGGAGTCCTCTTTCCTTCCTCTTCTAATGACAACTCTTGTTTTGTTCATGGTGGCCATATATCCAGCTAAAAGGCTACATTTTCCATCCTGCTGCCATCCTTCTGTGTACCTAAAGGTGATTAGTGAGACTTCTACTTGCAAGATGTTGAATCAGGACTCATAGGAACATTCTTCAGAGGTGCCAGCAAAACTGGTATGCTCACTGTTTACCCTTTACCTGCCTTCCTTTACTTCCTGTCAGGGACTTGGATTGGGGCTGTCGTCTTGGACACTAGGTGACCTTGAGAATGGAAATCAGATCTTAAACTCTTTAATGACATGGAGCCTCCGTTATACCTCTGAGTGGCATTTTTGTATCTTTATGTGAGAAGGAGGAAATCCTTTTGATTTACTCAGGTGACGGCTGTTTGGGTCTTCTGTTTATATGTAGTTGAAACAAGTCCTGATAAACAGAAAGGAGCAACAGTGAGACTCACCAGGATTTGCTTTAACACAAAATACTGGAAGACGGCAGAGCAAAGTCTACAAGGAATGAAAAAGGGTTGGGACCAAAAATCTCTATATCCAGCCAAGTGTACAGAGACAGCACAGCCACATTCTCAGATATAAATTACACAAAATACAAACCTGGAATTCTTTTCCTGAGAAAAATGCTCAAAGATGAACTATAAGATAGGAACCAAAATCAGGAGCTTGAGAACAATGAAGTTTGAAACTGCTACCAGGACTGACTACACAGCATTAAATATGTAAATTTGCATATGAACAACTGAGATAGTTTTTGTAATAGTTTGAAATATTTTGATCAGAAATATAAGCTGAAAACTTTTTGAAAAAGAAGGTCTCTGTGATTAAAGAATACTCTGTAAGAGTAAACAGAATTTATGTCCCTATATTAAGTTAGTAGATACTGGGAAATATGGATAAGCTGGAGATGGAAAGGAATGCTGAATTCTTAAGATGAATCAGAAGGATTTTAATAATTATAGAGAAAATACATTCTTTTAATTTTGTGTTTATTAACCTAGATATATATAAAGATTTTTATATTTAAAAGTCAGAGAAGACAGAAGCAAATAAAACATATTCTTTATTATAGAGAATGATGTTTTAGCCAATATTCTTGACTGCAAATAGCAGAGTCAGTCCTGGTAATAAACAAGGAAAGAAATTTAGTGGAAAGTTATCAAGTAGGTCACAGCATCTAAGGAAAGTGAGTCTCTATAGACAGGCTCTAAAACCCTGGAGGGACCAAGGGAGATGAAGTAGCTGGGTGTACATCACAAGCAAGCCACAGGAAGGGTCTGGTCGGGTTGTGACATCATGCCCGCAATTGCTGAATTTTTAAGGTGAATGATGTCTAAATGTCACTTCTCTCTTTATTTTCTCAAGATTCAGTGTTGTCTGGAAGCTTCCAGTTCTTGGAGCCTGAGACATGTCAACTTGTATAGCGGGAAGAAGTGCCCTCTTTTTCCTGCTTTGACCCAGATCATGGAGACTCTTTCCAAATACAAAGACTGTTCCAGTTGTTGGTATCCAAACGCAAACACCCAGCAGCAGATTTGTACTGTAGGAGAAAATGAAAGAAGTCACACAAAGGCACAGAGAACCTAGGGCTTAATGTTCTATACAGGGCGATCCAGATGCTGTTGAAAAAGCATGTGTACATGATTGTGTGTGTGTATGTGTGTGTAGGGATGGAAAGACTCCTTTCTGTTAACTGTTTTGAAAGGCATGCATGCTCAGTCGGTCAGTCATGTCTGACTCTTTGCAAC